CGGCGGACATTGGCTGGTCTATGAAACTTCTACTCATGTAAAAATACTTGTTACATCTTCGTGATATCTTTGTGCTCACTGGGCATGCCAGGATTTTTCAGACTATCCGAACACCAGTAATTCCCAAAGTGGTTTGATATTTTGCTAATACATGGTGATAAACCCAGAATCTCGAGACTAAGAGATTCTAGTGAAGTTTCGTGATTCGATTGTCAGCTAATACAAGACAGAATGTTTCGGCTCGCCATAAGCCTCATTGGTTACAAATTTTCAAAATGTGTCTTTCTTCGGAATTGTCACTGGGTAATAGTTGCGAAGATATCAATGAATGTAACTGAAAGCCATGCCTGCGGTCCGATGTTCAGTCCTTGCGAGAGAATTTTTTTAAATTTTGTTCTCTCACGTAATTTTCCGTATACATTCACTACGAAGAAGGTTCTTTTAGGTCGAGTTAGGTAGGATTGATTTGAGAAGGCATTGTTATCTCTTCTCTCAATTGATTTCTCGAGCAATATATTCTTTAGGAAAGAGGTTCATTTATAAGTGGCGTTGGATTGTTGCGAAAAATTAGACTCGTTGCTTATGCAAACATTCCTTATAATGTTATAACTCTTTCATGATGGAAGCGAAATATTGAATGACTCTGCAGAAACTGTCTGCAATAATTTACGAGGCATTTCTACAATTCTATGGACCACGAGAATGAATGAACCTCAATAACTAAACACGTACCATCCGAAAGGGTGATGAATGTCACTATCAATAGTGGATTTCAAAATCTCAGTTTCTTTACTGAAAGGAAGCTGAACCTCAGTGCCTGCAAAAAGTAGCACCACATCGAGGTACTATTTCCACGCGGCTAGTGGTAAGCGAAAACCGATAGTTTTCAACACACGATGCCAAATAACATTATTTCCCCGAATGTATTATCTAAAGTTAGCTCGTTGTTCTGTGCCAAGCCAGGCATCAGCATGCCATGCTTGCGTTCCGGGGTTTCCTCACGTAATTTCCCGAATACATTCGTTACGAAGAAGGTTCTTCCAAGCCGACTCAGGTAGGATTATTTGGAAAAAGCATTCTTTTCTGTTTCCTCAAGTTATTCCTCGAAAATTATATTCTTCAGAAAGAAGTTTCACCCAGGCAGAAATAGGTTCCCTAACAACACGAGTACGTCCCAGGGACGTCCTTCATTTTCTACGAGGACGTCCCTGAAATATCCCGTGTGACTTTATGAAAGTCTCGTCTCGTCTTGCCGATGGAATAAAAAGTCTTGTCTCGAGTCTCGTCTCGCAGCTTCAAGTCTCGTCTTGTCTCGCGTCTCGTTCGAAAGTCTCGCAAATGTATCGCAATTTCTTCATGCATAATCTTTTTCCAGTCCAGTACGGGATATTCACCTTTACCTACTTTTTAGGTATGATGTAGAAGTAGGGCGAAAAAATTACAACAAAAATAACATTATTTATTGGAAAGTAAGTTCCTATAATAGGTACATACTTACATCATACATAAAAACAAGAAAAAAAACATAGCATTATTTATATTCAAAAGAAGTAACACGTATAGTCTAAACAAATATACAAAACAAAAACTTTTATCCAACATTATTTTACTTATTTAAGAAATAGGTATCTAAGAAGATAGTTATTTGTTTTACTAGGCAGAAAAGTAGTAGATTGACTGCCGCTGCTGCTAGTTCATAGCCGAGCGTAGCGAGGCTAGGAATTCAGCTAAGGCAGTCAATCTACATTTGCTGCCGTGTGAAACATACAATTTTTTCTCCAAATGATATAAAACCAATTTTGTGTAATTTTCTCATTGAAAACTCGATCATTAGAATGTCTTGGAACGTTGCATTGCAACAAACATTTTTTGCCTAGGCAATAAAAGTACACCCTTTCTGCCTGTTAAGCGGCAGGAAAAGGCCACTATCCCTGACGCTTGGAGAAAATAGTTATTCGTTTTACTAGGCAGAAAAGTAGTAGATTGACTGCCGCGGCTGAAAGTTCAATTCAGGAATTCAGTCAAGGCAGTCAATTTACATTTGCTACCGTGTGGAAGAAAGAATTTTTTCTCCAAATGATATAATAGTAGATTGTTTGATTAGGATCAAAAGTGACACTTTGTTTGACAAGCGAATTTTGCATTTGCGAGGCGAAGCGCTTAGCGAAGCCGAGCGAAAGCAAAATTTGCGAGTCGAACAAAGTCACTTTTGATCCGAATGAAACATGCTATTTTTTCTGCAACCGAAACAATTAACTCAAATAAACATGTGAAGTAACCACCAATGCCGTGCGATATGTATATATGCAATGCAACAAATAGTGACAAATAATCCATGTGCTAAGAATATTCTACCTGCATTAACAGCAGGTTAGGTTTTCAAGGATGTTCGAATTGTAGTTTCAATATAAATACAATCACAGAGTGACATATTTGTGTATGGACCAGGTGCTCCAATGGCAAATACCGCGCCAGTGCCAGCTATAGGAACAAGACGTGGAAAATGTTAGGTTAGTGAGCATATCAACAATGATAATAGTGATTATTTATTCCTCTCCATACTACACAGTGTTTGACTTGATAATCAAATGAAGCTAAACAATATCGTTGTTTGAGACAAAAAACTATTGCCTGCCGTGATTATTCAAAAATAAGTTATCCATCCCGAGAATAACGATTGAAATACAGATCAAGCAAGTATTTGAATCTTGAAGGCTTCCCTGATGAAACAAAAATACTCAGCTGAGATGTTTATAATTCCAATACTCAACTATAATGAGGTGTATTTATATCTCCAGCATGGGTATGAAATGCCAAATCTGCTGAAATCGGAAACAAATCAGGTATGCGTCTCAACCCAAATAACCAACCGTCACAATGTTGTTTATTCTTGATGACGTCCAGTACATCCTTTTCAGTACCTAGGAGCTGAAGTTCAACTTCAGCTCCTAGGAACTAAAATTCAACTTTAGCTCCTAGGAACTGAATATGTTGCCTAGCAACATACCTATTTTTGTGTCAGTAATAGAAACGTCAATTTAAGGGCTAATTTTGCTATCAAAATGGACGACTTTTGTGTCGGTTACAGAAAAAACCAATTTTGTGTGATTTTTTTATTGAAAACTCCATCATTTTGTGTTCATTCAATGTCAGTGTCAATTTTGATTACTAATTCGATTAGACTTCCATGAAACGTTCCATAGCAACAAACTTTTTTTGTCTAGGCAGTAAGAGTACACCTTTTCTGCCTGTTAAGCGGCAGTAAGAAGCCACTATCCCTGCCGCTTGGCGAAAAAAAAAATTATCTGCCAGATCAGCCTTCACGATCGCAAATGTTTTCGTTTTTCACCCAGTCGTTAAGACATGAGGTTATTCTTTATCCTAGACTATTTAGCACAGAATGACTTATTTATATTGATTTTCAGGTAGTCATTCAATTTGCGATCTGTCGTTATTGCAGGATTGCCTTTATATTCCGCCGCCGTAAGAGAGAGAATAGTCCGTTTTTGTTCCACGCATTACGTCATTTCACAACAATCATGGATTGTGTTTTTAAAGTTTTCATGAATGGAATGATTTGTCTATCTGTGCTAAATAGTCTGAATTCTTTCTCAATATGTTGTTTTATGAATAAATTCTCAAGTCGGCACGCAGAAATATCTACCTGCGATACTTTCGCACGAGACACGAGAGAGTCTTTCACGAGACTCGAGACGAGACCAATGAAAGTCTCGTCTTATCTTGTCCAAGTCTCGTCTCGAGTCTTGTCTCAGAAACGAAACGAGACCATGCGAGACTCTCGAAAACGAGACTCTCGCGGGAACCACTATCCGCTTTCCACAATAAGAGGCATCCTAGGGATGTCCTTCTGGTACGTCCCTGGGATGTACCAAGTACGGAGAAGGGATATCCCTAGGACGTCCCAAGGATATCCCAAGGACATCCCTTCGACAAAAGAAAAAAAAATTAGGTCGAGTACGGATTGAACCCGGGAACTTTGGCTTATCAGGCACGCATCTTACTCCATTGGCTATTGAGCCTCCTGAAGATTGATGTACTAAACAGATTAATAAACAGGACTCAACTACAGAAACCTGAATAATTACAATTTTGTTAGGATTTGGGTATAATTATTATATCATTCTTGGGTGTTTAAAAATTAGGGGCATTATGCATGTACGATTTCTGTTTCGAAAAATATTAATTTCTTAAGAAGTTCTGAAACTTTATTCTTTATTTTCATTACGATTATTTTCCGGAAAAAAAAGAAGAAAAACAAACATTTTCAAAATAATGCAACTTTATACTTTGATGAAATTCAATGACTCTGATGTGAATGGATATCAGATATTTCAGGAACACGAATAGGATAACCTAGGGATGTACCGGGCGGGATGTCCACTGGACAACCACTGCGCGACATCCCCTGGATGCCCCATTCATGTCCTTGTACCGCGGGACAAAAAAGGGACGTACCTAGGACATCCCTGTGTTGTTAGGGTTAGATTGTTTCAAAAAAAGTAGTTTCGTTTCTGATGCAGAAGGGATATTTACCTTCCTCGATTATATTATGGTATTATTACTCCATTATGCTAAAAGCCAAATATTCTGTGACGGTGCGGAAACTGTCTGCAGGCATACATATGAGGAATGCTTTTAGTCTTTCAGTCAGAATTATCAGTCTACAGTTTGAAAAAATCTACGATGCTCAAAGAGCATAAAGAAATACTGATCATACTGTACATTCATGGTCAATTCGAAAATGATATGAATCGCATAGTTTTCAAAAACCAAATCAAAAACGTCGTCTAGATAAATCACTTTTGCCTCTTCTGATGATGAGAAAAATAATCTTTAAGACATTTCTACAATAACAGTCCAAGAAAAATCATCATTTCCAAGATGGCGCGCATCGAGTAGTGGCTAGTCGGAACGTCGGCAATAAAATTTCAAATATTGCTCGTATTTGTGCGTAAAAGTTTTTCATTCGAAGTCGGTAGTGTGTACCATTCATTGTTAACATAGTGTTGATCGACATGGGCCCTAAACGAGACACAAAAACCGGCAATACCGATAACTCGACGGATGTTGAGGTTATCAACCAAAAAGTTAGTCGAATGGAGTCTGATTTCACAAGTAAGCTTGCTGAATTCAAGAAATCATTCAGAAAGCACTTGGACAGTACTAGTGATTCCGCGCTTGACGAGCTGTGGAAAAAAGTCGAGGAATTTGAAAAAGACGTGAAAACTACTATTTCTCAGTTTAAAACAGATATCAACACCAAATTTCGTCAGATGGAGGCCACTGTTGATAACCACTTGCAGAAATCAAATAATAAATCTTTAATTGTGCATGGTATTCCAGAAAACGACAATAATGGCAGTGTCTTAGTAATCGTGATGGAATTATTACAATCTAAATTCAAGATTCATGTTGAAAAAAGGGACTTCTCAGATTGTTATCGGCTTGGTAAAAAGTCGATTGATCGCAAAAAACCTCGACCTATTGCTGTTCAATTTGTAAACAAGTGGAAGAGAGATGAAGTATATTTCAAGAAGCGCATGTTAAAAGGATCTCAGCTGTTCGTGACAGAGCTCCTTACTAAGCCGCGCTTGCAATTACTACAAGACTGTCAGAGATTGGGGGAACGCGCATTCAGCTTGAATGGCAATATTTTCGTTCAACAGGACGACGAAAAGCAACTCATTCGAAGTACGGAAGACCTTCGCAGAAGAACATAGGATGTCTGTCTATCGTGAATTCGAATATTTTCATACTATGTCCGTTCAACTTCATTTTATGTTGATTATTATTCACAGGGTGTGTAATAACTTTTTTTTTTTTTTTTTTTTTTTTTTTTTTTTTTTTTTTATATATATATATACCTACAAATATTGTTTATTTGTGCAGAACCTTTAATTTTTTTTTCTTGTCACCTTTAAATAGGGACTTATAAATGTTTTTCACATATGCTTTTTATTTGTCGTTCGTTCTAACTTACCACAGGACAAGTGTTATTCACTTGCTCTTCAAACTTACTAGTTTTTGAATTTGTAATTAATACTGTATTACCCTAGAAATAGGTATTATTCACATTTCACTTTCGTTATAAATTCTTCTTTTTTTTTCATGAAAAAAGAACTCAAGTTAGCATTCTTTAATGTAAGATCTCTAACCAACAATTTTGCAGATTTCGTAAGTTCAGTTGTTGATGAAAATTTTGACATTATAGGCGTTTCTGAAACTTGGCTCAGCGACAGCATCTCAGATGAAGCAGTTAGCATTGATGGGTACAACTTTATCAGGAAGGATAGAGGTTCCAGAGGAGGCGGAGTGGGTATTTTCATTAGAGATTCTTTTCAGTTTGAGATTCTCAATATTGCTTCATATGACTTTTTCGAACAATTATGGCTCAGGGTTTGTATTCAAAATCAAGCTTATATTATCGGTTCTATTTACAGACCTCCGAACAAAAGTATTCCTGATTTTCTGGAGAAATTTGAGATTATGTTGTCAGATTTTATAACGGACTGTAATGAAATTATATGTGGAGGGGATTTTAATATTGATCTATTGGACACTGAGGAATTAAATACTCAAAATCTTCTAAACTGCACCGAATTATTCAATTTGAAACAAGTCATAGAATCTCCAACAAGATTAACTAAAAGTAAAGCCTCTTTGTTAGATCTCATTTTTGTATTTGATCATCATGAATGCCTCAGTTGTGGTACTATGGATGTATATAACGTATCTGATCATCTATTAGTATATTGTAATATCGGTCTGGAAGCGAAACCTGATAATAATCAAAAACTCGAATTTAGAAACCTCAAGCGCATTGACTATGACCTGCTTCAAAATTTTCTTGCAGAATGTCCTTTTGACAACATACTTTTTTTTAACGATGTGAATGCAAAAATTGAATATTTCAATCAATTGATTTTGAATATTTTTGATACGTTAGCGCCTTTGAAAAAGATCACATTAAAAAACAGAAACCCCCTTGGCTAACTGACAATGTAAGACTGATGATGTCTATGAGAGACAAAGCATTAAAAAAGTACCAGAAATCAAAAAATCCTGATCATTGGGAAGATTACAAACGGTGGAAAAATCTTACGACCAACTCCATACGCAATGAAAAAAAAAGTTATTTGGAATTCTGTACAGCTAATAGTAGTAGTAAAACTATATGGAAAAAACTTAGAGACTTAAATGTTCACGTTAAAACTCGCAATAAACTTGATAATAGTCTGCCTGATAATTTTAATGATCCGAATTTGATAAATAGCCATTTCCTTATTCCATCAAACACTATTGGAACGCCGAATGTTGATTTAGTTCAATATTATAGTAATAATTTTAAAGATAACTTTGATACTTTATTTTCCTTTACACCTGTTCATGAGAACATAGTATATAAATATCTTTTAGATATAAAATCTAAAGCTACTGGTCCCGATGACATTAATATTGAAATGCTTTTGTTATGCTGCCCTCAAATCTTACCTGCCGTCACACATATTATGAATACATGTCTTTCTGCTAGTATATTTCCTTCTTTGTGGAAAATTTCCAAAGTAATTCCACTTCCCAAAAAGAAAAATGTCGAAAATCTCAATGAACTACGTCCAATCTCAATATTATCTACCCTATCGAAAGTCTTAGAGAAAATCATGAAACATCAAATTACTCTACATATTTATGCTTTTAACATATTACCAAAGAGGCAATCTGGGTTTCGCAGCGGGTTCAGCTGCACAACAGCATTACTCGATATAACTGATGACATTCTCAAAGATATAGATGATGGAAAAAACTCAGCCCTCATTCTAATTGATTATTCCAAGGCGTTTGATACAATCAACCATGAAATTTTATTTGCCATTTTACACTATGTGGGATTCTCTGAGAGTTCCATTGTGATAATTAAAAGTTATTTGTCAGATAGATTACAATTCGTTGCGGTTAATGATAAACATTCGAATTTGAAACCTATAAAGTGTGGTGTACCACAAGGTTCTATTTTGGGACCATTGCTATTCTCATTTTATACATGTAATATAGTCAATGTTTTAGAACGTACTGAAGCTTATCTTTATGCTGACGATACACAAATAAAATATTCTTTTTTTTACTCTGATCTGTATTTAGCTAACTTGGTTATCAACCAAGAACTTGAAAAACTTGTACAAATTTCCAAAAAGCATTTCCTCTCTATCAACTCCCTGAAATCCAATGTTCTTATATTCGGCAAAAATAAAAATAAAGTTGAGGATGTTATTGACATTATAATTGACGGAAATCATTTACCTTGCACTCATGTTGCAAGAAATCTTGGGCTTGAACTTGACACTGATCTGCGGTTCAAATCGCATGTTAGTAAATGTATAAAAAGGGCATATACTAATTTAAAATTGTTATATCCTCATAGACACATTATTTCTCAATCATTAAAACTTAAACTCACAGATTCTCTTGTATTGAGTCATTTTAATTTCTGTGATATAGTGTATGGTCCGTGTCTTGATAACACGGACATAAATCGTATCGAAAGAGTACAAAAATTTTGTTTGAGATTCACTTTTGGAATCAGAAAATTTGAACCAGTAAGTTACAAATTGAGTGAAGCGAATTGGATGTCCATGATTAAGCGACGGGAATTACATTCAGCATGTTCATTTCATAAAATTATTATAAATAAATCGCCTCCATATCTATATAACAAAATTACATATAGAAGCGACGTTCACAATCTTAATCTGAGATATCGAGGTATGTTATCTCCTCCTTTTCATCGCACTTCAATATTTCGTCGATTATTCACTTACAACATTTTTCGCCTATACAATAATGTAAGTAATGATTGGAAGCGTCTGTCGTTGTCCGGTTTCAGATTCGCCTATAAGAATTTATTATTAAATTAATATTTATACATATATTTTTACAATGATTTACATGTCATGCTTGGGTTTGATGTTAACTTTTTTCAAGATATTCTGTTTCTGGGTTTTATACAATAAAAGATGCTGCTATCTCGAACCTAAACGGGGATGGCACTAGATATCAGTTACGACTGCCTGTCATCTCCCTTTTGCAGTTCGCATTTTGTTGGAAATTTTATATTTAAGTAATGTACTAAATTGGCGAACTTCGAAATAAACTTTATTATTATTATTATTATTATTTGCGTTGTTTGAACGCTGTCAGCTATAGGTTTCATATACGTATTATTCTTATTTTCATCATGAGGTATAATTTCTATCCAAATGAAAAAAATATTCCGGATACGCACACGCCACTACTCTCCAGAAACGTCTCGAGAACCAGGATATCTAGGAATGATGAAGAAGAATACAATTTTGATTGAAGTCAACTCGAGCTTGTGAAATCATACGAGGTTGCCTATGGTAAAGAATTATTTTCGCATTCGAATTGGAATTCCTGTTCGCTGCATTGGTGGGTATTGGACCGAAGTGCAAAGTCTGCACAGCACTTCGAAGACTAAGTCGTCTGAGGAGGATGACTGCAAAAGGAGTAGGCAGCGTCTCGCTCAGGTTGTTGAGGATCTCGAACCGATTGTTAGGAACCAAGAGATTGTGCAGGCCAAAAGAATCTTAGATACGAAACGAAAATCCAAGCAAGTTTACGGCGTGATGCGTCGAACCCGTAGGAGGCATGAATTGATTGCGCCAGGAATTGACAGATGAGCCAGTCAACAAGAAGTGAACTGGGAGGTTAGTCACACTGCGCCGGATAATTCACACTGGTCGCTGTCCCCAGTTAAATAAAAACGTCTCGGATTTCTCAAAAAAAGGAATGACAAGGTGGCAGACAGTATGAAATCACGGCATTTGCAGGGCAGTGCGTCAACAATGAACAAACCCGTCTCAACTCATCATCTGTGCTAGCCAGTGATCATTCGTGTCCGGCGGGTGTGAGTGGGTTGTTATGTTACCGCATACTGAGTTCCATACTTTAAGATCCAATGAAGGCTCGGATTTTGATGGAGTTGGTTTCAACTAGGTTGTTTGTTGCCCAGGCTGTGATTTCAGCAAAATCATCTTTGACAGCGTTGATCTGTCTTCAAGGTGAGTTCTCAGTTTTTTGAAGAGAAATGAAACTCTGGAAGAGAACGCTTTATGAAGAGTACTTCCATCTGACAAAATGTAAAGATGGCAAGTGATAGGAACAAAGTTGGTGGCTAAACTAATAGTTGTGGAACACCGGAATTGATGACCATGGAATCAGATGATAATCCGTGTACCACCACATGAAGTTATCTGCCTGGAAAAAAATGATGGTGCATTGGAGTTAGAGATTTCGTTCATTCGACATGTGCACGAATATACACAGTGAATTCTTTATATCATAATATCTGATTGTGAGATGTCTGCGATCGATTGATTTTTCCTCTAGTCGGGTGTAAGGAAAAGTTTACTCACCCATTTCACACATGGGTAACTGCTATACCTTCGCTATTCGACAGTGAGCATCAAAGTTATTTGCGAATCTACTTCTTGCACTTGTTATTTATACTTACTATGAATAAAAGCGATCTATTATCATAATTCTTTTATGTAATCCTCAATACCTTAAACAACATAACAAGGTATATCAAACAGGGTGAAATTATTTGTGAATGGAAAAATATCCCTAACCAACCACCAAAAGTTGGCGAATCTTGATACTTTGCGAATACCCGTTGCTCAAAGTTTTCGATAGAATATAATCATTC